TTAAATCATGATTCTCGAGCCAAACTTCAAAAAACTTCAAAGGATTTATTAGAGGCGATATACAGGGCAGTGCCAATATGTCGCCTCTAATAAATCCTTTGAAGTTTTTTGAAGTTTGGCTCGAGAATCATGATTTAATTAGGGCAATTGCTGGAATTCTGACTCACAGGTTTGCCAGCTGTCGTCGCTTTGCAAGGGTGCCCTTGGTTGCGTATCATTGATCCTACGTCCCACACGTAGGCACCGAGCGTTGGCCATGCCAGCCTCGTTCCCACGCCACTTCCTGTTTGCGTACCTCAAACCCACTGCACTTCCTTTTTCTGAAACGGTTTTTTTTCCTTCTCCAAGGGAGATGTTAAGATAGTTTAATTCCTCTCATCGGCTGAGTTCCGCTTGCGTGCCCGCGATTTACATTGTTATTTCTGCCGAGATACATTGTTATTTCTGCCGAGTTGGGGTTTTTTTGGGGGGGGGCGGGGGTTGGGAGCGTCGCACCTGCCACAAAGACTTTACAACTTGCACAGAAACTCCACTTAAAGCCTTAAACTGGGGATTGTTTGTCTGGATTTAAAGGAACAATCAAAAATGGTGTCAGGTCTGCTTGGGTGGAGGGCTGGCCTAGATCACAAATTGGCAACCTCCAGCTGTAGAGCTGCATGTGGCCCTTTCATCTCCCTGTTGCGGCTCTCTTGCCACTCAAAATATACGTCACAACCAGCAATGTACAACACCCGCCGTTACCTGATCAAAATTAATATGCTTGGCAACTGGCTCATATTTATGACGGTCGCAATGTCCCTGGGGTCACGTGATTCCCTTCTGGCACCCAAAGTCAATGGGAAAACCAATTCAGTTAACGACCATGTTAATCAACTGCAGCGATTCCCTTAACAAAGGTGGCCAAAAAGCAGTATAATGGGGCAAAACCTGTTTTAAGAAATGTCTCACTTAGCGACTAAAGTTTTGGGCTCAATTGTGGTCGTAAGTAGAGGGCTGCCTGTATAGGCCTTTATTTCTGTCACCTGCCACCCTTTTGGCTTGAAGCAAGCAACTTTCAGCTCCATATTTCAAGCAAAGCGTTCTATAATTCAAGTCTATGCACGTTATTGTACGTTTTCTGCGAACACCTGGACAATAAACACGATTGCGTTCATGTCTTTCTCGTGAATTGGAGTGAAGGATTTACGGAGAATAACCTTGGGACAGGATGGCAGTGAGGGTGTTCGCACTAGTAAGAACCCTTAGACTCATATAACACTTTATAGTCCTTCCTTCCTTCTTCCCTCCCTCTCTCTCTCCCTCTGTCCCTCCCTCCCTTCCTTCATTCTTCCCATCCCTTCCTTCTTCCCTTCCTCTCTCAGTACTTTCCTTCTTTCTTCCCTCCCTCCTTCCTTCTTTCCATCCCTTCCTTCTTCCCTTCCCTTCCCTTCTCTTTCTTTCTTTCTTTCTTTCTTTCTTTCTTTCTTTCTTTCTTTCTTTCTTTCTTTCTTTCTTTCTTTCTTTCTTCTTTCTTTCTTTCTTTCTCTTTCTTTCTTCCCTCCTTCCTTCCTCCCATCCCTCCCTTCTTCCCTCCCTCCCTCCCTCAGTCCCTTCCTTCCTTCCTTCCTTCCTTCCTTCCTTCCTTCCTTCCTTCCTTCACAAGCAATATCACTTAGACTTATATCCCACTTTATAGTGCTTCACAGCCTTCTCTAAGCAGTTTACAGAGTCAGCCTATTTGCCCCAAACAATCCTCATTTTACTCACCTTGTAAGGAGGGAAGGCTGACTCAACCTTCAGTCAAGAAAGAGAGACAGGAGAGAGAGAGAGAGAAAAGAAAGAGAGAAAAAGGAAAGGAAGGAAGGAAGGAAGGAAAGAAAGAAGAAAGAAAGAAAGAAAGAAAGAAAGAAAGAAAGAAAGAAAGAAAGAAAGAAAGAAAGAAAGAAAGAAAGAAAGAAAGAAAGAAAGAAAAGGAAGGAAGAAAGAAAGAGAAAAAGAAGGAAAGAAAGAAAGAAAGAAAGAAAGAAAGAAGAAAGAAAGAAAGAAAGAAAGAAAGAAAGAAAGAAAGAAAGAAAGAAAGAAAGAAAGAAAAAGAAAAAGAAGTACCACTCTGCCCTCAGAAAGGAAGGAAGGAAGGAGAGAGAAAGAAAGGAAGAGAAAGAAGAGAGACAGAGAGAAGGGAAAAGAGAGAGAAAGAAAAAGAAAGAAAAGAAAAGAAAACCACTCTGTCCTCTGGACAATGTTATTTAAGGTAACTTCTCTCCAAGTTGGCTGAGAAACCCAAGTCCCCTGTTCCTAGCCGACATGGCTGTCAGCTGGTGGGCTGCGGTTAAAGCCCTGACCCTCCATGGTCTTCCAGACGAGGAGGAGCAGAACTGGGGATTTCTCAGTCTGGTCTCAAACTTCTCTTTTTTTGCACGCTGGATGTTTACACACACACACAAACACACACACACACACACACATACCAGTGGGTCTTATTGGCAGGGAAACAGGATGTATATACCCTTTCCCCCCGAAAATAAGACCCAGCTGGAAAATAAGCCCTAACGCGTCTTTTGGAGCAAAAATTAATATGAGACCCAGTCTTATCTTCGGGGAAAACATGGTACGTACAAAATATACATCAGCAAAAACCTTCCCAACAACTTCTTCTTTTAAAAAAATAAATAAATTTTTCCTAGCCCTTCAGCCAAGAATATTTGGACAAGAAGAGCTCCCAGGTGCTTTCCAATTCTGTTATTCTGTTCCGTGGCCGGCCATCTCTGCTTCCCTCCAAGCCTGCTCCGTTGCAGCGACCGCCGTTGACTTCCCAACCTTCCCCTTGGGACGTGCCACAGGGCCGCGGTCAGAGCCCCCCACCCCCTCCACCCCGGGCCCCCTTGGCTTCTCGGAACCGGAGCTCGCTGGGAAAGGGCACGCAGAGGCCTCCTTCCTTAAAGGGAGCTCGTCCAAGTCTCCTTTGGCAGCCGTCCTGGGAATCTGGCTTTCTGGGATTAGCAGGCGATCCTGAGGTCTGGGTGCCGGGAAGTGGCCACGCCTGGGAGCAGCCAGCCAGGCCCTTGCCAAGCCTGGAAGGAAAGTATGGCATGCATGCCAGGATGTGGTGCTTGACTGCCACTTGGCGGCTCTCCAAGGAGGGCGGGCACGGCTCCTGCCCAGCTTCCTCAACCCGTTGCACAACTTCTTCACTTGGCCTTTGGCAACCCACTTCGCCTGCTCCCCGCAGGGGGAAATCCCGGTGTCCAGGAAGCTGAGGAAGGGTGTGGGGGGGGGGAGGCCTCAGGGTGGGTTGGCCAGCGGCGGGCGAGGCCCCTCTTCCCCTTGCAAACAGCCACCCGTGGGCACACACAGACCCATGCGGTCTGCACCCGGGGCACAACCAGACCTCTCCAGCCTGCAGCCAGGAGACGCCAAAGTCCAGATGCTGCACGTTCCTTCTGCCAGGCGGTGACTTTGGGGTGTGTGAGGAGGGGGATGCCAGTCATGTCTGGGGACCCTTGCCACGCAAATCCTTCTGGAACTGGGGCACAACCTCGCCCCAAACCGGGAAGCCCCCTAGGCAAAAGCTGCGGTTGCCAGACCGGAATGATCTGGGAGACTAAACCTGGGGGTGCGATGAGGAGCCCTGGGCCAATCCTCCCGCTTTGGGGGACCGCGGGGGTCTCCGATGTAGGGTCCTCTGTGGGTTTGAGCTCTGTGAGGCAGGATTTGGCCTCTGTGGGGCAGGAGAAGCCTCGACCGGGGAACAAACTGGAAAGAATGATGCCTCTCAAGATTTGGAGGGGTGGGTTAAGCCCCTTCTCGGGGCTGGATTCCTGTGGGGTGAGGCAGCGCCCCCCAACCCCCTGGGCCGTTGTGGGGGCCCTGGCAGTGGGCCTGCTGGCTTGTCTTTTCATGCTGTTTAGCATCCAAGCCAGCCTGGAAAGCTTGAAAGAGGAGCTGGCCATGCTGAGGAGAGAAGCACTGTGTCGGGCCCCCGGGACGGATGGACAACGGGATGCCTCAGACTTACGGCAGGTAAGGGAGGGGGGGCTCTGCAGAAGGCGGGTTGGGCCCCCTCGAGGGCTCCAGGGGGGGGGGCTCTGACATCCCCCCCCCCACCCACACACACTCCATTTGTGCAATTCTAGACCGGACTTAAATGCATCTCCGGTAGTAAATTCGCAAGGCGGAAACGCAACTTGGGATCCATAAGGCACTCCCGCTGCCCCCTCCCTCCTCCAAGAACAGGATAGCAAACCACCTTCCCATCATCCCCCAGCCAGACAGTGGGGGGGGGGGAGAAGATGGGTGTTGGAATCCAGCAGGCAGGAGCAAATCTGATACAGTGGTTTTGGAGCAAAAAGGGGTCCTGTTTTTTTTTTTCTTTTTTGTCTCTGCAGCCAAATTATCTTGGCTTAGCTTAAAATTTCTGTTTTCCCAGAAAATTTGGGATCATGGAGTGATGGGGGTGGGGCAAGTGGGCCTGGGGGGGAGGGAGGGGGCATTTTTCTGGATGGGAGGCGCCATTTCGCTGACTCTGCAAACCTTCGGATGAGGTTATGATTCCCCCCCCACACACACACACACCTTACAAGAAAAAAGGAATTTTTTGTTGCACAATTTTTCTATCCGTTTCTCGACTTTTGGAGAATTGGCAGATATTTTCCCTCTTTCTGCAAATTCAACTTCTAGGCCGGGCAAAATGAATGATTTCCTTAGCTCTCCGATATGTGTCTTTGCTGGGCAGAATCCCACCCGTCAGATATATGCAAAGAGGGAGGGGGTGTATGCCTCACGATGGGAAATAAAGGACCTCTGAGCATGTGCCAAGTGCAAAAGGAGAGAGTCATTGTCTGTGTTTTGTGGCAGCCATTTAGCGCTCTCTCTCTCTCTCTCTCTCTCCTTTTTTAATGTATATTTTTATTATTATTGATCAACATTTTGAATAGAGTGTATCGTCAGAGCATATCATTTACAAAAAAGCAAAGGAAGAACAGAAAGGGAATATTAACATACATCCCAATAACACTAGTAATAGTGTAACAGAATAGTTTTAACTAGATTTATCTTTCTATTAGCTTATTTGTAACTCCGTTGGTTATATTGGCACATTTATAATTATAAACCATCATGATATTTAGTTCATACTCAACAAAATCTTTCTTCATCTAATTTCTACCTCTTATCTCTAACCACTCGTAAAAATCTATTCCATGTTCAGTAATAGTTGTGTCTTCTTTGTCCTTTATTTTTTTTAATGTCAATCTATCCATCTTTGCACAGTCTAATATTGTCCAAATTACATCCTCCTCGGATGGAGCGTTCTCATTTTTTTCCCAGTATTGTGCAAATACAATCCTTGCAGCTATCAATAAACGCAAAACTAGACATATATCATAGCCCTCCTTGGGCATTATACCCAACCAAAATATCAGATCTATAATGTTGTTTGATTATCTTTTCCAACCATGTATCTATTTCTGTCCAATATTTTCTTGCTTTCATTCATGTCCACCACATGAGATAATAAGTACCTAAAGTCCGATTAGACTTCCAACCCTTGTCGGACATGTTGTTGCTAAATGTTTTTTTGCCAATCTTGCATGATGGCAAGCGCCACCTATAAAACGTTTTATAAAGATTTTCCTCTCTTGAGAGCGCCAGTCAGAAAGGCCGTGGCACGCAGGCACGTGGCCAGGAGAAAATCCGGGAGCTTGAATCCTCTCCAAGCCAGCCTTGTTTTCTCTCCTCTCCTTCCCTTATCTCCTTCCGTTTTTTTCTTTTTCTTTTTGAACTTTATCTTCTGGCACTTTGGAGTTAAAAAAAACCCACCAGATTTCAATCATGATGGAAGCAGCTTTGAAATTGTCCCTGGGTGCAAAATCCCCCCCCCTTTTTCCCCCCAAGGGCCAAAAATGAGACACTTCTTCAAAAAGGATGGCCAACTTTTCTGGACACCCTTTGCTCCTCTGTTGTTGTTATTTATCAGCGGCCCGGTAGATACAGCTAGTCCTTGACTTAACAACCACCATTGACACAGCCAACATTTCCGTGGCTAAGCGAGACAGCGGTTAAGTTGAATTCTGCCCCGTTTTGCCACCTTTTGGGGCCACCGTCGTTCAGTGAATCGCTGCAGGGGTTGAGTCAGTCACGCCATCATTAAGCAAACTTGTACCTGTACCGAAGGTGCCAAAGAGAGATCGCGTGACACACACACCTCTTTTCGGGGCACTGCATCCGTCATAAATATGAGTCAGTGGCCAAGGGTCTGAATTTCGATCACGGGACCACGGGGGATGATGTGACGGTTGGTTGTAAGGGTGAAACATGGTCCTAAGTCACTGTTTTCAGTGCTGCACTAAACGAACGACAGCAAGTTTTTAATGCTGTCTGAGGAATTTGGGGAGTTGAAGTCCACAGCACTGAATGAGCTAATTTGCAACCTTGAAATGCCCCCAAGTGTCAATCAAGGTTTCTCGGCACCCTCTCCCCACCCCCCCCACTTCCAATCCTGGCAGCCCTCTTCAAAAATTTTAGCAACTGGCTCTCTGTTTTCCTTGACCCTCTGGGAGGGCAAAAATGGCCTCCCCAGGCTCCGAACGCCCTTCCTGAGCCTCTGGCAGGCCCGTTTTTCACCCTCCCCGAGCCTCCGCATGGGCCCTGTACTTACCTGGCATCCAAAATGGGCTGCGGGGGGGTCTCCTGGCCTGGGAGGCGGCAGGCTGGGGTGGGCAGGGCCAACCGGGGTGGGATTTGCCGCTTTGCAGAACCGGTCATTAAAAATGATAAAATTTAGCAATCGGTTCGCATCAACCGGGGCGAACCGCTAGCAGCCCAGCCCCCCCCCCCCGCCCTCCTCCGCTGCTCTTTCTCCCCCAGGCAACGAGAGTCCTGGCGTGCTTTGCTCTTCCTACCCACCAAGCCCCTGCTGCTTTGGAGCTCAACCTGCCATACAGGTACACAGGTAGGACTGCTGAGGTCGCTCTTCTGGCTTTCAGAGAGATGTTGGCGGCCCGGTGGCTCACGTGCGAAGGACGAGATGGACGAGGGATGTGGCGAAAAACCCTCAACAAGAACCTCTCATGCGTCCCCGCAGTGAGTAGACCGTACTTAGAAAGAACAACATGGAGTAAATATAACTTCGCACTGTCTACTTCAAGGCTCTCTCTCTCTCTGTCTCTCTGTCTCTCTGTCTCTCTCTCTCTCTGTGTGTGTGTGTGTGTGTGTGATTGTAGAGCCCCAACCTTCTCCCAGGGAATTTTTTTTTTTTGGTCTTTTAAAAGTTAGGTTGCCTTCATTACAGAACAGAATCAGAGAATTGGAAGGGACCTTTAGAGATCTTCTAGTCCAAACTCCCGCTTGAGCAGGGGGCTCTATACCATTCCAGACAAATAGGTGTCTTCTTAGCAACCTCCAGCGATGAAGCACCTACAACTTCTGGTGGCAAGTAGTTCCCTTGGTTAATTGTCCTCCCTGTGAGGAAATTTCGCAACTTGAATGAAGTTGCTTCTCTCCTTGATTAGTTTCTTCTTTGGGGCAGCCCCTCAAATATTGGAAGGCTGCTATCACATCCCCCCACCCCTGCCCAGTCCTTCTTTTCCTTTTACTCAATTTATTATCAAACTACAGAGCCTGGACAAATCTGGGCAGTGTATAATGTAATAAAAGCAACCAGGTATGCTATTAAAAAGAAGTCTGGGTAAAAGAACAGAAACCACAACATTACTGCAAAGAACCACAGTTGGTGTTGATCCAGGCGACCCAACCGCACAGTGCCAATTCGAGAGGTGTCCACCTCCAAAACCCCAAAGGCAGGAGAAGAAGCAATGGATGGAAACTCATCAAGGAGAGAAGCAACCTGGAATTGAGGAGAAACATCCTAAGAAGGAGAACAATTAACCTTTGGAACTGCTTGCCACCAGAAGTTGTGGGTGCTCCAACACCGGAGGTTTTCAAGAGGAGATTGGACAGCCATTGGTCTGGAATGGTATATGGCTTCCTGCCTGAGCAGGGGGCTGGACTAGAAGACCTCTAAGTTCCCTTCCAAGTCTGTTATTATCTTACTCTTCTGTAATTCTGTTATTCTTCTGCTTTCTCTTATTCTTCTCTTATTCTCTTGTTCTATTTTTCTTCTATTCTTCTGTTATTCTGTTATTCTTCTATTCTTCTGTTATTCTGTTATTCTGTTATTCTGTTCTTCTCTTATTCTACTCTTCCTTTATTCTGTTATTCTATTCTTCTTCTATTCTTCTGATTGTCTTATTCTTCTGTTATTCTATTATTTTATTCTCTTATTCTTCTGCTATTCTTCTTCTATTATTATTAGTCTACTATTCTTCTATTGTTCTGATTGTCTTATTCTTTTATTCTATTATTGTTATTCTATTATTCTGTTATTCTATTGTATTATTCTCTTATTCTTCTGCTATTCTCTTATTCTTCTGTTATTCTATTATTACTATTCTGTTCTTCTATTCTTGTTTTCTCTTATTCTTCTATTCTATTATTTTTCTGTTATTCTGTTATTCTTCTGTTATTCTTTTATTCTGCTATTCTATTCTTCTTCTGTTATTCTCTTATCTTTCTGTTATTCTCGTATTTTTCTTCTGTTATTCTCTTACTCTGCTCTCAACAGTCTTGCAAAAGGAGGCTAGGTCAATGCCAGCCCTGTCTTTGGCACCGGGGACGGGGTAGGAAGCCACTCCAACCTGTAACACACACACACACACACACACAGGGGTGGGATTCAATTTTTTAACAACCGGTTCTGTGGGCGTGGCTTAGGTGGTGGGCATGGCTTGATGGTCATGTTATTGGCTGGGTGTGGCCAACTCAATATCACATCGAGGCACGCATCTCCACGCCTGGCCTCTCATGACTGTGGGGATGCTGCAACAATCGTAAGTGTGAAAAATGGTCATAAGTCACTTTTTTCAGTGCCCTTGTAACTTTGAATGGTCCCTCCACACAAGCAAATTACCAGCAAAGGAGGGGAAAAAAACTCCAGAGAAGTTCCTGAGACAGGAAGTCTAGTCCTGCCAAGAATGCAATAAGGGTTAACGGAGAGGCAGTTTCTGTAAGCAACACCAGAATGTTTCCTTCCTGCCTTCCTTACAGGATTAGCCCAGTAATTTCTTCTAACAACCGGTTCTCCGAACTGCTTAGATTGTTAACAACCGGTTCTAGCGAATAGGTGCGAACTGGTAGAATCCCACCCCTGCACACATGCAACCAGAATTACACGCTTTCTCCAAGCGACAATTTTGGTCCAGGCAACTAAACTTTTTTTGCAGCAGAACGAATGAGAGCTCCGGAGCAAAAATTGCAGGGTTGGAAAGAAGGGAAGTGAAAGTAATAGAAAAAATGATGAGGACATTGTGTCCTTTTGTGTGCCTCCAGAGTTGTGACGTGCCTCAAACGGCCCGTGAAAAAGAAAACAAAGACATCTCGATCCTGCAGGGCTTCCAATATTGCCTCTGGAAAAAAGGTTTTAAGCACCAGAAATCCCGAGAAGCGTTTTTGACCCAACGAGACAGGTTTAGCCCAAAATTTTGCATGATTTTGCAATTTTGCAGAGTTTTTAATTTCTGGGTGGGAGAGTTTGCCATGTTTTGTGTCGTTTTGATGGTCTTTAGAAAAGACTGTTATGAGCAAAATAATAGATAACAGATAATCAGAATTGGAAGGGACCTTGTAGGTCATCTAGTCCAACCCCCCTCCACCCAAGCAGGAGACCCTACACCATTTCTGACAGAGGGCAGTCTAATCTCTTCTTGAAAGTCTCCAGGGATGAAGCTCCCACAACTTCCGAGGGCAACTTCTGTTCCATCGGTTGACGGTTCTCCCTGGGGGATTAGCAGAGTTGGAAGGGACCTTGTAGGTCATCTAGTCCAACCCCCCTGGCCCAAGCAGGAGACCCTACACCATTTCTGACAGAGGGCAGTCTAATCTCTTCCTGAAAGCCTCTAGGGATGAAGCTCCCATAACTTCTGAAGGCAACTTCTGTTCCATCGGTTGATGGTTCTCCCTGTCAGAAAGTTTCTCCTTATTTCCAGGTTGAATCTCTCCTTGATCAGTTTCCATTCATTGTTCCTTGTCTGGCCTTGGAGAATAGCTTGACCCCCTCCTCCTCTCTGTGGCAGCCCCTCAAATATTGGAAGACCACTATCATGTCTCCCCTGGTCCTTCTCTTCCCTAGACTAGCCAAGCCCGGTTCCTGCAACCGTCCATCGTATGTTTTAGTCTCCAGTCCCCTCATCATCCTGGTTGCTCTTCTCTGCACTTTTTCTAGAGTCTCAACATCCTTTTTATAGTGTGGTGACCAAAACTGGATGCAGTACTCCAGGTGTGGCCTTACTAAGGCTTTACAGAATGGTATTAGTACCTCCTTTGAACTCCATTGTATCCCTCTGTTGATGTAATTTAGGATTCAGGCCGTTTCCAGGCCGATTTTGGCTGTTTTTTGGCCCGTTTCTCAGGCCATTTTCTGGGCCGTTTTCAGGATTCTTTATGACCTGTTTTCAGGCCATTCTTCAGGTGGTTTTTGGCCCCAAAACAGCCTGAAAATGGCCTATAAAAGGAACCAAAACAGCTTGAGAAACGGCCCCAAAAGATGGCCGAAATCAGCCTGAAAACAGCCTGAAAAATGGTCTGGAAATGGCCTGAGAAACGGCCCAAAAATAGCCTGAAAAAGGCTCGAAAACAGCCTGGTTTTTTGGCTGATTTTCGGGCCGTTTTCCGGCACTCTGGTGCCCATGAAGACCAGCTGGCGATGGTGCGCATGTCCACCAAGAGGGCTCTGCCTGCCACCCCTGGCCCGGGTGCCATAGGTTCCCCCTCACGGATTTAGCTTGCCGCGGGTTATTTTTTCTCCCACTTTTTTAAAAAGTCAAGGTATATTACGTTGACCGCATTCCCACCGTCTATTAAGCAAGTTTCCCCATCAACAAATAAATTACGTTTCTTCTCGTCCTATCCATGCTGAAACATTTGGTGGCTGGGGAAATTCCGGGACCCCCCAAAAAAGAGAGTTAGATCAGGAACAAACCATCATGGTTATACTAAGTCTTCAGTTCATGTAACCAGTTTGAGAAACATGGTTTTAAGAAGTATTTCCTGTGCTGGGTTCAACCTGACAGGGTTCACAGCAGCCATAAATGAGGGGACAGTGTTCCTGAGTACATGCAGAGGGCCTGGTTCGTGTTTTCAGTTAAATCCCATTTTTTTAATTTTAATTTTATTTTATTCCAAAAAAAGGTAAAATACGAAACACCCGTTGAAGGGCTGGCAAAATGCCTTTCTTCTGAGGGTTCGATTTTCCTGCTGGGAGAACTCCAGTGCAGGGATTCAGACAACTACTTGGAAGCTGGTTCTTTTTATTTTTCAGGAAGGCGAGAGATAGCAAGAAGTCTGCGTTCCTGGGGCTAGCTGGCTTTGTATAATAAACCCCTGATTTTTATACTTTTTTCTCCTTTTGTGTGTGAGTGCTTGTGTTTGTATTTCTTAATATTTTAAATCCTGTCAGGGGTTGTCTTCATTTCCGCCGGAGGGTAAACTCCGCGGGGTGGTTTGATTGGATTATCAGTTTCGTCCTAATGTTTTCTTATATTTGTTTTGTGGCAATCTCCTGTCTGCTATGGAATTTATTTCGTGTCTTTTGTCTCTTTGTTTTGCTGATTTGGCATGACCTGTTGTTTGTAAGTGATTTCTTTTTCTTGTTTCCCTAGCTTTCTTAATCACTTGGCTTTTGTCTAGGGGGCTTCTTTCAATACCTTTTATTAAATCTCTTTTCCTATGCAAGTTTGTTTTATGGCTGGCCTGATGTTCCCTTTGGGCTTTTCCTGCTTGGGTGTCACCACTGTCCTCATGAAGTTCCCTTTCCACACACCCATTTTTAAAAAAAACAAAAGAAAAGAAAAACATGACATTAAAAAGGGAAAGGTGCACTTAAAAAAGGGAGTAGCACACTGATTAATATATTACAACAACATTAGTTTCCCACCTTTGAAAAACAGGCCCAACGAATTTTAAATACTTAAGTGAGGAAATCTGTTTACCGATTGTTAAGCTGTCATCCATATAATATCCCCATTATTTACAATTGTGTTTGATCTCCACAGAAAAACATTCCGTCTTGCATTTGGTCCCTGTTCGTCATTCCAATAATGGTGAGTAGCAGATTTTGTTAAATGAGGAGTAAAATAGTATTTTTTAAATTTATAAGGCCGTCCATCTTCTCTGGCATGTGACTGTGAGTGACGCACAGAGCTCAGCGAAGTTAAAAATAATCGTAATGTCTCACATGGCAAACAATTAAGCTAGATTTAAATGCAATAATCAAAAGAACAGAGGAGGCACTCAGGCCAATTAGAGTTACAATAATTACAGTTGCAATTGCAATACACCTGCGTGGACTAAAAGTGTGGTTCTCAGCAGGTCAACCCGAGTTTAAAAAATAATAATAATAATTAAATGGCATTCACCTTCTCAGTGGGCATCTCTAGAGTGGCTGGCTTGAGTTATTTGTAAGTCAAATGCAAACTTTGCAAAATGATAAGGACCCTCCCACTTTCCCACTGAAGGTGTTGGTCACCTGGGCAACTCTGGATCTTCAATGGAGGGGGCATGTTGGGGCACGCCCCACGTCTGGCTGGCCCCCTGCCTGCCCCCCCCCCAACCAGGCAGCCATGCAAGCTGCGTGGCCCCTCCATTGGAAGGCAAAGCAAGGAGGCTGGTGAACTATGGAGCGTTTGGGATGGATAATGGCTGCCTTGGGGGTTTAGGGGGGCGTCTGGGGACCTCATTCAAAGGGAGGCTTGAAATCCCCCCTTGCTGGAGCCATCTGGTCATTCCCCCCCCCCCCCCCCCCCCCCCCGCATCATCTCCTTCCTCTTCCTCTCCTTCCTCCTCCACAAACCTCAACCTCTTCTAGCACTGATGATGTTCCCTAGTTGGGTCACGAAACGCCTACAAGAAAACAGCCAAGAGAACATTGGACCCCACATCCTCCCTGTCCCCCTCCTCTTTGCAAACCCCCACCCCCTTCTAGCACGGATGACATTCCCTAGTTGGGTTATGAGACGTCTGCCAGAAAACCACCAAGGACCCCATACTCCTCTCCCTCCTTCCCCTCCTACTCCTCCTCCCTCTCCTCCTCCCCTTCCTCCTCTTCGCATTCTCTCTCTCCAGCACTGATGATGTTCCTTAGTCATGTCACGAAAGAAAAAGATCGAGCTCAGAGAATAATGGAACAGCAAGAGCTGGAAGGGACCTTGGAGGTCTTCTAGTCCAACCCCCTGCTCAGGCAGGAGACCCTGCACTATTTCTCCTCCTCCTCCTCCTCCTCCTCCTCCTCCTCCTCCCTTTTTCCTTCTTTTTTCTCCTGTTCCCTCTCCTTCCTTCTTCCTCCTCCTCCTCCTCCTCCAGTCTAGGCTGGGAAAATCCCTTACTGGCTCTTTCCTGGACTTGCTATTTTCCTTCTGGCTGGCACACTTGGCAGGCCAGCCTGGGGATTAGCGATTTGCTTTCTTGTGCTTCTGCCTGGCTCCCTTCTCTGTCTTAATTAAGGGGGATGTGCTGACCCCCCCCCCCCAGGAATGGTCATTTGAAAAGCTTCTGCCTGTAATGTTAGATAATAGAATAGAAATAAGAATAGAATAGAAATAAGAATAGAATAGAAATAAGAATAGAATAGAAATAAGAATAGA